TAGGGGTGTTAAGGTTTTTTGTTTTGGTTTTGAAAGGTTAAAATGGGTTTCGGTTATATAAGCCTTGGGCAAGACTTATGTGTGGAATGATATACGGTCGTGCCTCCCATGTATATGACCGTGCTTCCCTTGTAAAAACATCTTGATGATAGCGCACGGTTGTGCCTTATGGTAAGGCATGTGTATTAGCGTCACACAACCATGCCTCCTACACTAGAAGCAATCGATTGATAACACACAAACATGGTTTATGAGCTCGCACTAGCCTTGGGAAAGGCTTGTTTGGCCGTTCTAAAGTTGGCTTCCTCTTTGGTTCTATCACATGAATTCCCTATTCTTGTACTCTTGTCACCATAGAACTTATGTTACTTAGAGAAAAATGTTGTAAACAAATTAAAATCGCTAATGTTAATAAATTCAAAAGAAAAGAAAGAAAGAGAAAAATAAATGGATTGCCTCCCATTGAGCTCCCTTGTTTAATGGCCTAGGCTAGGAATTGTTCATTTTTAAGAACTCTAATCAATTTTTTTTCTAGCCTGGTTAGTTCGTTAGAACTTATTACCGAAAGTGTCTCCTAGCCTCCCAAGAACGCATACTTCAAATGTTCATGCGCCGGGTTGGGCTCCAATTTTGGTTCCTACAAAATATAAGGTAGAAGTTTTATGTTAGAAATAGGAAGGTCAACACACGATGCATTATTTTTTTAAGGTTTAAGTGCCACCAAATTGAACACCATATATTTAGCAACAAGATCCTTTTTCTAAAATTTTTAAGTTGTCCATATCAAAATCATTAGAAAGCACAATGTTCAACTTATCATCATGGCTTGAATAAAAATATTTTTTACTTAGAGGATCTATAGTATCAACACCATACACACAAGACACATCACTAGGATACTTCATATAATCATAAACACTAAATTTTATAATTTCTCCATCAAATTCCATGATGAGTGTACCATCCTACACATTTATCTTCCTTTTAGTTGTACTAAGGAAAGGTCTTCCTAGAAAAATATCATAGATATTAGATGATTTATCATCTTCCATATGTAACTCATAAAAATTAGCAGGAAAAATGAGATTATCAACTTTGATAAGCACATCCTCAAGAACTCCATCAGGATAAACAACTGATCTATCGGCTAACTGAATTATAACACTCATTTCTTTTAATGGACCAGCTTTTAATTTTGGGTAAATAGATAATGGCATAATATTTATTGATGCTCTTAAATCATACATGGTTTTCTTTATGCCTAAAGTGCCTATCTTACAAGAAATAGGAAACATATCTTGGTCCTTGCATTTGAGGAGTAGTTTCCTCTAAATATAGCTTAAACATTCCCCCCCCCCCCCCCAACTTACTTTTTCATTGCAATTCAACATTTTCTTGTTGGTGCACAGCTCTTTTAAAAACTTGACATATCGACGTACTTATTTAATTGTATTGAGTAAAAGAATGTTTACCTTATCCTTGCATAAATTTTCTAGGATCTCTTTCTCTTCTTTTTCCTTCCTTAATTGTGTGAATATTTATGAAAATGGAGGGATTTTAAATTATGCAAGCTAGTCAGAATTTGGGTTTATTTTGTGTGTCTTGCCATCAATTACGACTTTTAGTTTTGTGCTTTTCAGTAAGCCTTGCCCAAGGCTGGAAGTTTCTAGTAGTTCCTTACCACTTCTCAATGTGATAACACTTATATTTTGCCTTGGATTGACCTCAGTTTGAGAAGGTACTTTGCCTTGGGATTCTAGCCTACTCATAGATGCTGCTAATTGGCTCACTTAGGTCTCAAAATTCTGAATGTTTGCTCTTATCTCCTGTTAAAATTGTTTGGTGTTAGTAACAAGTAATTTAACAATTTCTTTAAGAGACATACCTTATTTTAGAGTAGTTGGTTGTTGTTGTGGAGGTGGTCTTTGCTGATATTATTGGAAATTTTGTTGCCTTGCTTCACAACAAAAGTTAGGATGATCCCTCCATCCTGGGTTGTAAGTGTTAGGAAATTTGTCATATCTCCTTTACGCTTGGTCGGAAAATTCTCTTATGGCAAAGATATGCTATTGGTCATCTTCTTGAAGTGTAGGACACACATCAGTAGGATGTCCAGATTGCGCATAAATTCTATAAACTCAAACCTATTGTGTATTATCTACAACCATATTTCGCACCAAAGTTGTTATTTGTGAAATTTGAGATTCAAGAGAAAAATTACCTCCCTTATTTACCTTTTTTGGGGTGTCTCGCGTGTTCCCTAACTGTTGTGAAGTGGTGGCCATGATTGCTATCAATTCTCTAGCTTCTTGAGGTGTTTTATTCACTATGGCACCACCATTTGTTGCATCTAACATTCTTCTATCTATATGCAATAGTCCTTCATAAAGATAGTGAATGAGGGATTGTTTTAAGATATCATATTGTGGGAAACTTGTCCACAACCGCTTTAATCTTTCCCAATAATCATGGAGACTTTTTAAATCTCTTTGCTTGATCCCACATATCTCCCTCTTTATCCCGATAGCTTTAGAAGCATGGAAGAAGTAATCTACAAAGGATTTTACCATCTCTGCCCAACTCGTGATTGATTCGAGATATAGGTAAAACAACCACTATTTGGTTGCTTCATCCAAAGAGAATGGGAATACTAGTAGTTGATTTATTCTTCATATACATCTTCCAGTTTCACGCTAGAACAAACGACATGGAATTCATTGAGATATTTGCGTGGGTTCTCATTTTTCATACCTTAAAACTTGGGTAGTAGATGGATCAAACTAAATTTTAGCTCAAAAGGAACATCCAAGTCTAGGCAGGTGATGGAGAGGGGTTGTTGGTTTGTAGGTGGGGCTGCCAACTCCCTCAATTTGCATTCTTGTTCCATATTTTCTGTTGCAAGTATAGCAGATGAAGTGTTGTCTTGATATTTCTGCTTTCTTTCTTAGCTCTATTTTCTTAGACTTATAGCAGTCTTCTCAATCTCTAGATCGTAAAGAAATGGTCCTCCACGATTGGTCCTAGTTGTAAAAAAGGAAAAACAATAAGTTAATCTGAATTCCCCAGTAACGGTGCCAAAATTTGATTGGTGTCAAATTCACAAAAAATAAATTTTTAAGTAACCAATAAAACAATATTATAGTAGTGGTAAGAAGGGTCGAATCCATAAGTAATTTGAAACCAATTTTCTTCCTTGACCAACGAGTAAAAAATAAACAAAAAGAGGGTTTTTATAGATTCAACATCAATACAAAATATAAAATAGGAAATAAGTAAAGTAATATAAATCGAACTCTTGGCTACAAGTTAGAAACTAAATTAATTATAAGAAGGATTCTTAGTTGACAAAATAGCTAGCTCTAGTAACATAGTTGATCATAGATGCAAGGATTCATTTTACCCAAAATATGGCAAATTAGTTATAATTTTTGGAAACGTTCCAACAACTAATCCTTCATTATTCTTAAACCAACTAAGAAATGTTCATTAATTGGCTCTTCCTTGTCAAGCTGTCCCGAGAATGTCCACAGGATTTAACTTATTAAAGGCCTTGAGAGCTAGAAGGACCTGATTCAAGTTACCGGATTCATTCGCGTGAACTGGTTAGCTAGATGACTTACCTCCTCAGTGCAGCATTGATCGTTAATAGGTGCCAGAATCACTATAACAATTACGGGTTTAAGGAGTTCGGGTAGCTACTTGCGATTTCTCTTCTCGTATGACGTGCCTTATTCAAATAAATTCAAAATAACAAATATATAAAGGTGCAAGATGTAAATAAATATCATATTTGAAATAAAACTCAAATTAATTTGATTAGATATCACAAATAAATTGTTGAAGTTTGTTAGATCTACCAAATAGGAAAAAGAAATAAGCTAGCCACTCATAGTGGATTTCAATACAAAAGAGTTTTTTTTTAATGATCAAAGAGAAGGAAGAAGTCGAAAAGAGAGTGTAGAATTTGCCGTTGAAGTTTTATGCGGCGTCAGGAAGAATAATGATGATCAACATGCTTGGCCACCACCATCTTTATAGAAAGGGGCTAAGGTTTTTTTTTTTTGTGTTGATTAGGATCCTTTTCCTTAATTTTTGACTTATCCCGAGCGTTCTGAAAATATTTTCTTCTTGATTTTCAGTCCCAGATCTTAGCTGGAATGATATCTTTTTTATATTTCAAAAATGCAAGTTTCAATTTAAATATGCTATTGTGGGTGACTCTTACCATTGCCCAAAGCTAAGTTATCTGTCTATTGGACTTAAGCCTTGTGCAAGGCTTGTTTTTGAATTGATGACACTTTTCACGAACTTTTTCTTTGTTTATGCTATTTTTTCTCGTTTCGTCCTTATATCATGTCCTGCGACAAAACATAGAAACTAGTTCGGATTAGATAACATACAATGAAATTTAACAACCCAAAAGTATGTGATAATGATGTAATTTTAGGGCACTATCAAGATGTGGCTTGCTCTCCCTTAATGTGGTGGAGACCTTTTAAGCTCACTTAGTGTAACAGGTAGCTGTGTGCTACCATATACCTTTGTCTAATAAAATCTTTTAGTTATATAATTTATTTACTGATAAATATATTCTTTAATTTAAATAAAGAGAAATTATAATTCTATTTTCTAAATTGTTATTGTTTTAAATGAATTGAATAATAATAAAATAAAGTATATGTTTGAACTGAAGTAAATTTTTATAGATGTGGGTATGAATAAATAAACATATGTATAAATTCATCTAGTTTTTATAGATGTAGGTATGTACAAGTAAACATATGTAGAATACATAAATGAATATATATATATATATGTACAAATATATAAACATAGGAATAAATATATAGATGCATTTATGTGTGTATATATATATAATTATATATGTATAATATAAATATAAACCAAACACCCACTAACACCACAATTGTGGCCATAACCGAGCCACATGGGGGGTTGTTGTGAGGACTAGCCAGGTGTCAAAACAAATTCAGCCTTTCATGCCAGCCTTGGTTGGCCACCGAAAGCACCAACGGCTGTGATGTCGTACATGTGTTTGGACAGTCAGATGATAGGCCAAAGTCAGTTAAAAGCTTCCTTCTCTTCACAACTTTGTCTTCATCTTCTTTAAACCCAAAATTCCAGTTAAACAAGTGAGTGAGTGGGGAGGTTGAGAGCAAAAGACAATAAAGAGAGAGAGAGAATGACACACCAGAATAGAGTATATGTTTTGTGTGCGTAACAGAGGGGGGATACTTCTTCTTCTTGCCGAGGTAAGTTGTTTCTTCTTCTTCTTCTGAATTGTGTTATTTATCTCTTTAATGTTTTACGATCACTTCTACACAAAAATTCAGATCTCAAATTGTAGCAGGAAGCTCCAAAACCCAAAATCGTTGCTGCTGCACCTGAACGACACCTCTATTAAGGTAAGCATCTGTTCTTCATCCAATTCCAATTCTGTTTTGTGTTTCCTTTCAAAAATTCATAGTCAATCATGGAGATAATGTGTTAGGAGTGTTAGGATTTTATTTCCAAAACTAAAACAACTTTTCAACTCAAAATCATCTTTCTGCTCTGCAATTACAACTATTGTGAGTTGCAAAGAAGAATTCTTGAATTTTTAGCATATTCTTTGTGCGATTTAGCTTCTGTCTCGTGCAATTAATGGGTAAGATAGGTAGAAATCTTGTTGATGCATGATTTCAGATATTTAGATACATTTGACGATTAAACTGCTTAAATTAATTTGGTGATGTTGCATGTGCTAAGCTAATGTGTGTGTGTCTCATGAAATGTGATTTTTACAAATTAAAATGATATTTTTGATGCATGAATAATAGAGCGAATGGGTTTTGGTGATTGATGCTTAGAAAACAAAGAAAGTAGAAAATAATTTTCAAGGAATTGAACCGAATGGTTCTGTCACAAGCATGCGGGACCAAGGTGCTGTTGCTGCAGGGCGTGTGCTATCCTGCAGCTAGCGAGCATGCGTGGGACATTGATGGACACCGATAACAGTTTGGAAATGCCCCTTAGACACGGGCAGAGAGTTAAAAGAAAAAGGAAATTTTAAAAATTTGGGATTACGGAAATTATTTGAGATAAAATGGGTTAATTAGTAAGGATAAAAAGGTTTAAATTAGTAAGGATAAAAACTATACTTAATAAATAGTTAAATTCTGTTAGAGTTTAATTTTCTAGAATTACAATAAAATTTATGAATTTAGGGAAAGATAATAAAGTCTAATAATTTAATCAAATAAAATAAAAGTAAAAAATTTAAATCTGCACAGAGTCTGGTTTAAATCTGACATACTGTATTTCTTTCAAGGGGTATTTGGTTTGCTTATTTATTTAGGAACCACTATGTTATGGGTGCTAGTTTTAGTTCCTTAATAGGACATGTAGTTCAGTTATCCTTAAGGACTTTGGGCAATTTGATATTCATGTTCTGGAGCCCAAGAGCATGAATGATGGCAACATGGAGATACATGAGAGAATTAAATTTGTATTTGTTAAATCTATGACTGTATGTTTGTAAACATTTGCGTACCCACCCATAACGAGTTGGTATCCTGTTTGCCCTTTTTGGAAATAGGTATAGGCGATTGCGCGCATAAGTTTTTAATCAGTGTAATTTCAATTAAGATAATAACTGGTAATTAAAATTGTGCCAGAAAATGAGTTTGGTTCTAGGTGCATGAGTTGTGTAAACCCATCGAGTACGGTATTGAACATCCTCATAACAATTTATATGAGATGAACATTTGAGTTGGATATGAATATTGGTTATGAGATTTGACTATGGCATCAATGAAGGTTTTGAAACATATATGTATTGCCTTATTTCATTCTATCTTATTGAGTATTAGAACTAACCTAAATCTAACCTCCGGTCCCAGATGCAGATTTAGAGGAAAACACTGGAGAGCCATGTTTAGATTTCTTTCGGGAAATGTAGTTTGAAGCAGACTCCGTATTTTATTTTAGACTTGTGGCTAGTATTTGGTAATTAAGCTATCTCTTATTTTGTATTTTGAAATGTAGATGGCCTATTGGGCCTCAGTATATAGTCTTTTATAAACTTTATATGGATGTATAGTTCTATTACAATATAAATATTTTTATTATGTTTGCTATGTCGCACGTTGGTTCCCCTATTTGGCATCGGGACGTCACACATAACCATGATTTCCTTTGTGGCCATGAATCCTTAAGTGTATGTAGCCATGATCCCTCATGTGGTCATTAGCTTTTATGTTTCTTTGAGCTTCCATGTGGCCTATGATGATTTGTGCCACCTTGATCTTTATTGATGTCTTCGTAATCATGTTTATAACTCATTGAAACCTTAAATAGTTTAAAGCAGTCCCTAAGCTCTGTTAACCATCTTAGTAAATTCTTCCTAACAAAGGGATTCACAAGAGAAAAAGTAGATAACATATTATTCATAAAGATCAATGTAGATGGAATTTTAATTGTTGAGAGAAGAGATTTTTTCAATCACATTAGTATATGTGCTGAAATGTTTTGTGATGTATTAAGATATGTGATCTTCTGAATTACATCAAGCTATATGATGAAAATTTTCTTATCACGTCAAGACATGTGATGTGTTGGGAAATGAATCATTTAAACCACATCCCATAATAGGCTAGAAGTGTGATTCTAGGAATCACATAAGGCATTCTAATAACTCATATTATATTTGATACACTTAATAAATAGAAGCTGAAATGACATTTTTGAAAAAATAATAATATTTTGAAATATAAATTATATAAAAATATGTTTTCTTTAATTCTTACTTATAAGAATCTTTGTTTGAGTTGGTGAAAAATGAATGTTGATTCCTTTATAAGATTCTTGATGTATTTCCTTGTTAACTTTCTTACACTTGATTATCATTTTTAAATTCAAGAAAGTTGATGAATATAACTAATCACTTATAAAGATTCTTGATTATTATATTTTTAATAATACAAATCGAAAATAATTATGATAATATGTGTGATAGACAACTAGGAAGAAGGTCTAATATTTGATATTTGGTACTTGACAATTATGAACTTAAAAAGATGATATGTTTATAGATAATGTATATATGAAACGGACGAATAAAAATATTTGTGTTAATTGATTAGTCTTTCTTGATATAAATAGTTGTTGGTGAATAATGAATTAACTAAATTGATATATATTTTTTAAATGATGATTGATATTCTTTATGCAAAAAGAAAAATGAGTATATTT